AGAGACCTTCCTCTACAGTGACCAATATTGACTCATTAATGACTCTTTGGATCCAGTCATTAAATCAGTTCCAATCCTATCAAACAGTACACTCTATCACCTAGCACATGGAGAGCTTCTCCATTTTATCACAAACATATGCAAACAAACAGGCTTTGTTCAAATCTACAGTATTCCTCTGTACCAATCTGGTTTCTCTGGCAAACAAGGGGAAAAAAGAAATGCAAAGCTGTCAGGTCTGACACATCCAAGGTGGGTCTTTGTGATCACACTTCCCTCCCTAAGTGCTCACAAATCAACTCCTTAATGGTGCTTTCTATGATTTTTCCAAAAATAGACATTGAGCTTACAAGTCAATAAGAGTTTGCAGGCTCCACCCCATTCCCTTTTTTGAGAATTACAGCAACAATATTTACCCTTCTCCAATCCTGCAGCACATTTCTTATTCTCTGAGATCTCCAGGATTTAAAAACAACCAAAAAAAGAGAAATAGTCTTTGATCTCTAGAAGCTTACATTCTACTGGAATCAGGGAAGACTTACAGTTGAAGGAATGGAGGGATATAAATAAAACAAGGCAAACATTTGACATTCCAAACAAAGAGAAGGAAGAGGATAAAAAGAGAATGAGATAATGAGAGGTGTAGACAGGAAGGGTCAAACTTGCCCAGGGTCACCTAGCTAGTATTGTCAAGTGTCTGAGGCTGGATTTGAACTCAGGTCCTCCTGACTCCAGGGCTGGTGCTCTAGCCACTGCACCACCAAGCTCCCCTTGGGATGTTGTTGTAGTAGGGATTTGGGGGGAGGGGAGGCTACAGACTGGCCATCTGAAATTCTGTACAAATAAGTTTCCTTATTGAATTAAATGGAATCGATTCTGTGTTACATGCTGGGGGGGGGAGGGGTGGAAATACAAGTGCTGGAGCATGCTCTCTCCCTCCATGGAGTTTACAATCCATAGAGGTATAAGCCACATGCACAAATGCAACCCAGTTGTCATTATGATGATTGTTGCTGCTCTCCAAAGCTCTTCTTCTACTTCACCTGATTTACCAGGTGAGCTCAGGACACATGAGTTTGTGGTTTATATTGTGAAGATTTTTGAGCAAAGAACTGATATATAAGTAAATGCACTGCGGAAGATTCTTGAGTCAAAAGTGTGCCAGATAAATCTGAGAGGGAAAAGATTGGTTTGGAGGTGAGGAGACAGACCAGTTAGGACACTACTCTAATAATTTAAGTAAAGATGAGAGCCTGAAACTACAGTGATGGAAGTGAGAGCACAGAATAGGAGGTGGTCATGGATTGATAGTGGAGAATGATGAAGCCAGGAGACTAATTAGGAGAGTACTATAAAAATTCAAGCAAGAGATGATGCGGGCTTGAACTCAGCTTTCATGTAGACCCACCAGCAGTGCTTGAAGAGAGGCCAAGGAGCAAAAGTGCATGCAAATGAGTCCTCTTTTTGGACATGCCTAAGTTTGAGATGTCACTGGGATATCTAGTTTGAAAAGTCCCAGAAGAGTTAAGTAATGTAAAGAGGCATCAGGGGAGAACCTGAGAATGGCATTGACCCACATGAGAGGTATTGGTCTGCAGAGACACTGAGTTCAAATTCTAGTTCTGATCCTTATGTATCAGAACCCACAGGAGCTAATGTCAGAAAAGAGTCTAGAGGGAGAAGATGGCTTTGGACCACAGCCCTCGAAGAGCATCTTGATCTAGCAAAGGAGACCAAGAACGTACTGACCCATCCAGTAGGTTGGAAGAGAACCAGAATAAGCAGGGTCATGAAGACTCAGAGAGGAGAGTATCCCAGAGGCAGTGTGTGTGTGGGGGGGTCAATGACAAGTCAAATGCTACAGACAGATGAAAGAGGACGAAGACCAATAAATTCCAGGTTTCCAGATTCTTGGTGATTTTGAAGAGGAAGTTTTGGTCAAGAGACTGAGGGTTAACGCCAGATAGCAAAAGATTGAAGAAAGGAAAGGAAGTGAAAGCAACATAGTTATCAGCATGTTATCTTCCCCATGAAATTTTGAGTTCCTAGAGAGTAGGGGGACAGGGGGAGGTTCTGGTTTGTTTGTTTTTTTTTTGTTTTGTAGCTTCCCACTGCTTCCACGTAGTACCATGAGCTTAATAAATAAACCTTTTTTTTAAAGGAGTTTGAGGAAGGGAGGAGGAGCATAGGATGCTAGCCCAAAAGTTTTTTTAAGGATGGGTTATTGGGCCTGTTTGGCTGCAGGGATGGAACCAGTTCAGAGAGGCTGAATTTTGCAGAGAAAATGGATATAATGGAAGTTGCAATTTGCTGAAGACTGGAAGTATTAGGATCCAAGGCCACTTGACTAGGAGACTGTAGGAGTGTTACAGGATAATGTCAATGGTATTTTGAGTTGAGGAGAAGAGGGAGTTCACACACAGAATGGCCTCAGTTTTCTCAATAGATGTGAGGCAATCAGGTGAGAAAGAGGGAGAGGCTGAGAATAGAAGAGAAGGATTGAGATGATTTCTAGGAGTGAGATTGTTAGAGAACTAAAGATTGCCTGGTTGCAGTAAGAGCCCAATTGATATTAGATAACATGATAAAACATATTTGTATCTACTTCTACCTCACAGGTTTGTTGTGAAAAAAATGAAATAGAAACCCTTGGGGGTAGGGATCAGAGCCCTATGGGGCTTCATAGAGGGAAATTGAGGCACATAAGACTCCGATTGTTTGAAAAATCCAAGGTCATGTCTCCTCCAGGAGACTTGGGCTTTCCTCCTTCCTGCAAGTTGCTAGCATTCTCTTCAACCCCTGAAATTACTTTGTAATTTTATTTTATACATTTTGTATTTATTTACAGATCTGGGTACAATGTTGTTTCCCTCCCCCCCACACACACTATTTGTAAGCTTGTTTCATTTTTGTCTGAATTATTCACAGTGACCTTGTGTAGTTAATGTTTTTTGAACTGAAGGCTCTCTAGGCTATTCATCATTTTACAGAAGGGCCCAGAAAAAGAAAGTGCCTTTGGGTCACACAGTTAAGAATAGCAATCAGGACTTGACTCCCAGCATGCTATTCAGCATTTTCCAATGAGCTACGTTATACCATGATGCAAAATATTATTGAGAGTTGAGTGTGGGCTTCTGGGTAGGGTGGCTACAGAGGCTCCAGCCTCCCCATCCCCCCCAACCTAGCTTATATTTCCAGTCTAGTTTTTAAGATAAACCCAACTCCTCTCCCAGCACACCAGTAAAGTTCACTAACAGTAGGAGGTACAAGAACCAGAAGTCACAGCATATTTTAGAGAAAAGAATACCTCCCACGATCCATCCCAAATCTGGAGTAATAAGGGTCAGCTGGTTTTGAAATTTGTACCTAATAGAACCTCAGTAAATTCTACTTCTCCAATTTTAGAATTTTAGACAAAATGCTATGAAGTTGTAGAAGCCAAAAATTTTACTTCAATCTAAAACTAACCCTGACACCAAAGCACAGGAATGACCATGTTTATCAGGAGACAGATGTTCCTGATTCTCAGGAAAGTTTCTCTCTGAGTGTTTGGGACAAAGGGAATAAAGGGCAGCCTGTTGAAATCTTCCAAGGCTGTTTTGGAAATAGTTTTGAATGGGCCTTTCTATGTGTAATAATAACTAACAATAATAGCTAACATACAGCTTTAACTATGTGCTAAGCACTGTAGTAGGAGCTTTACAATTATCATCTGATTTGGTCCTCACAACAATACCGGGAGGTTGGTGCTATCTACCCCCATTTTACTGATGAGGAAACTGAGGCAGACAAATTCAGTTAATTTGCCCAGGGTTCACATAGCCAGGAAGTTTCTGGGTCCAAATCTAAACTCAGGTCTTCCTGATTCCAGGCCCAACTGTCTCTATCCACTTGGTCACCGAGTTGCCTCAATTTTGGGGGGTCCAAAATAATCCCAGCATGAATCATGTAAAGCCTAACTTAGAGCCCTGAGAGCTGGAAAAGCCTTCCTTAAAACCACGTAGTACAAACCTATCAATACTCAGATAAGGAGGCTCAGGTCCAGAAAAGGAAGAGTGACCTTGCCCAGGGTCTCATACAACAGTCTACAAGGAAAGGATTTTAAATTCTAAAAAACTGGACCTCTAGATTCCAAATACAGGGTGGGGTGGGAAAGGGGCAGGGACTGTACTTCAATTCCGCCACCTCGGGAGCATGCCAGGAAGGCTTCCCGGGGGCGCCCCGCTGGCAGACTGATCTCCCGCTGAGTCCCTGGGAGCGGCGGGGGGGCGGGCCTAGGGCGCCCACAGACCGGCGGGTCCCAGTTCTGAACTTTGCTTATCTCTCCTCATTACCGAGGCCGCTAATTAAGTCCCCCGCCCATTCAGAAGACCTTTCGGAATCGGAGAAATCGCCGCCTGCGAACACCAGATAGCAGCAGACGCGGCCTGACAACCTTGACCTTTCCTGCCTGCCAGCCGGTGACCCAGCCCCGCGGGGCGCGGGCCGGGGAAAGGCACGCGGGTGGCCGCGGCAGGCGGGGCCGAAAGTCTGGGTTCCGCAGAACTAAGCGCTTGGCGTCCCCCCTCCCACCACCAGCCTAGCGCATTGTGACGTCACGAAGCCACTCCCCCTCACTTCAGACACTAACTATACACAGAAGGGGAGGCCTGTGACATCACGAATCGAAGAAGGGTGGTGACGACAGAGAGAGGTGCAAGGCTGGCATCTGGTCCTAGAGGGAGGGTGAAAGTAGGAACTCTGTGCCGCAGGATCGGACTACGGTTCCCGCCTGCCCTTGCGAATCGAGCACGCGCACACCCCTCTAGCCCACAGGCACGGCCCACTCCTTACTATCTCTTCTAGATGGAGGTGGGGCGGTGTTGGCCTCCTCCCTCCCTCCCCCACTTTGGGATGACTGACAGACAACTTAGTCCAATAGGAAGACGTATACCCAGTAACAGTCCAATCGCAACCTTATCACTACTATCTCTTCCCCTAGCCAGCCGACTTTCAGGTTTTCTCGCGGGAGTGATGGACTCCACTTCCAGTCGGAGAGAAGTTCCGTTTGATGGGCGTGGGTGCGGCTGAATCGGGGCGCCGGCAGTTGGAGCCGGCGCTGAAGAGCGTGCCTATAAGCCAGTAGTGTTGAGACGCTGAAAAACGGACAGCAGCATCGCCCTATCGCTTCCCGTGCCCCTTCCAATCAGCGCAGGCACCGCCCCCTCATGCCTGACGTAAGTAGGGTGGGTAGCAACAGTTGCCCCGGTGAAGGAAACGGAGGCGCCATAGCCACGGTAGTCGTGGCGACCAAGCAACCCGGCAACGCGAGTCAACAACAACAACCGCCCCGGCCGACCCCCCCACCCCCCCTGCCCGGCTCCGGGACCCTGGCAAATTCCACCCCCAAAAAAAATCTTCTCCGAGGCCCCCCGGAAACCCCCTCGGCGGACAGAAGAGGGGGAAAGCTGAGGTAACGGGGACGGCCCCCGGGGCTGCGGGCTGGGCCGCGGGCGGAAGGACAGATGGGGTCTGTTGCGGTGGGGATCCTACTGTAATTACAGTCCGGAGAGGGGGGAAGGGGGCGGGCGGTCAAAATGGCGTCTGTGGCGCCCCGGCTGCGGCTTGTCGGGGCTGTGCCGTGGGGGAGGGGGGCAAAAGGCGGCGGCGGCGGCGACGACGGCGGCGGCTGCAAGGGCGCTGCGCTGGAGGGAGGACAACACCCCTTCCCCCTCCCCCCCTCCGCCCTATTGGGCTCGACCCCTCCCGGAAGGGAGGGCACTACCCGCCTCTCTGTGGAGACTGGCGGGGAGGTGCGGAGGCTTTTATACGGGAGGTGGGAAGGGGCGGGGCCCAATAGGTTGAGCCAATGGGAGAGAGGGAGGGGTGCGAAGGCGTGGCTAGGGCCGGAGGGCGGGGCCTTCCTGTCAGGTGTGGGTGGAGCAAATAGGGAGGTTGGTTGCTTGAGGAGGGGGGATGAGGGTGAGGGGAAGTGTGGAGAGCAAAAGAGGAAGCCTGGGCAGAAGATGGGGTGTATCCCAGAGCAGCTGAAGTTCTCTCCTCGGGGGCCCACTTGACCCAATGCCAGTCAGCGAAGAGGGTGAAGCCCTTCTGGAAAATAGGCCCTGGCATTTCTGGGGGCGCTCTAACTTGCAACCCCTTTAGTTCCAAATCGACAGCTGTTCAGTTTTCAAACTGTTAACTTCAGCAAAGCTTTGCTGGCTCTCTGGGCCTCAGTTTTCCCCTCTGTAAAATGGGTTGAATAATTCACTTTCCCCCTTTCCAGCTATCCAATCAGTTGTTGTTTTTTCCCAATACCCAGTGGTTTTCTCACATTCATTTTTAAAAACGAGTTCTCTGTTATTTGCTTGGATTGTGTGTGTACCTGAGTATCCAGCCTTCTCCATTTAAATACTGATCTCAGCTAAGACTTTTAAGCCCTAGCATGCTTTCCTCTTCTTAGAATGACAGATTGTTCAAGGCCTTGAGTAGGTTAGTTGGAAGTTTCATTGAGGAGTTATTGGCCAAGAAAGGTGGTGAAAGGGGCCAGACTTGGTGTTAGTTTAAAGGACAGGTGTGGTTCCAAGCAGGCCAGATGTAGTCTGCTCCCAGGGTAGAGAGAGAATGTTTCTAAAGCAAGGAAAAGCAAGTTACTTATACTGCTTGTGTTTTGTCAGTGGTAAGGCTCCAGTATTCAGAGGTGATGACTAATAGATGTATCCTTCAAGACCTACTTACCACCCAGCTTCCCTTTTTCCTCCCTTTCAGTTATGGATATTAAGTATTAAGTAACGCAAAATGTTATTCTGAAATTTCTCAGAGGCCTTGAGCTGCTTCTCATAGCCAGACACAAGTTTTTTTGGTGTCAGTCAAGCCCCAGCCAATGTCAGCTAGGCCATTTTAAGCTAGTCACATGTCCCAGAAGAGGTGCCAGCTGTCAGTATCATATGTGCAGAAGTGGGATGCTGTGGTAGGGACAGACTAGCCCAAGGAGTGCGTTCAAACCCCTTCTGCAGTTTGTGAAACCAGTTTCTTCCTGCCTATTAGATTAGAAATAAAGTGCCTATGTTTTGGTCCAGAAAGGAATAACTCCATTGGTTGATGTGGGTTAAATTTGCTAAAGCGGCAGAGAGGCCAATAGCACTGTGTTTGTGATCACTCTGGGGCTGTTCATCCTCAGAGATCAGAGCTGTTTCATTTAAGATGTGAGCTGTCAATCTCCAGCTTGCTATTTCTGTCTTATAAAAAATTTAAAATCCTTTTTCATTAAACAAGACCTGACTAAAACCTTATTAGCTTCAGCCTATCCAATTTTTATTTCACAAACAGAATTCGAGTTTGGGATCTAAGCTTTATAGAAGTAACCTTTAAAAAGGAAATAAATGTACTTGATATAAGTTGACCCTGCCTTGAGCAAAAGATGAATCCATTAGATAGACGATGATTAAACAGGAAATGTATTCACATCTAGGAAAACCAAAGGCGAAGGAGACCTTAGCATTTATTGCAAGTCTAGAGTAGACCCAAGCCCTACATCCTGAATTTGTAGCATTAGCAAGTGCTGTATTTTGAACTCAACATAGCCTTACAAATTCAGTCTACAAACTTTTTAACTTCTCTTGGCCTAGGTAAAGCCAATATTATCATTAAGCTCATCTCTTAGAATTGTAGTGTTTGCATATTTTTTCTTTTTTAATTTAGGAAAGCAACACTCAAAGGTAAAATTACTGGTAATAGTTTGAATTTAAAGGGTTGGAGGGAGAGTTAGGGTGTGTGTGTTCTGCAGGGTAAAGTAGATAACTGGCATTTAGAACAGTAAGATTGTTGAAAGTTTGTACAAAGAATCTCAAGCATTGGGCTCAGAAGCCATCTGGTCCACCTTAGGTCTTGTAGGAATTTGCTTTACAACATGTACAATAAAGAGCCAGTCAGCCAGCCAGCCTCTGCTTAATGGCCTCTACGGTGATTCTTCCCAGAGTAGCCCAACCTACTTTTGAAAAGCTCCAATTGTTAAGATACTGAGCTTTTCTGCAACCTTCCACTGTTGTTTTTAGTTCTGTCCCCTAAGGCCAAGTAGAATAAGAAGTGTCTTCCAATTCTGCATTCTGTGGTAGTTCTCTTTGGGGTCATTTCTTCTGATACTTGAAGATAGCCAACATATCCCTGGGTCTTTTATTTCTGGGCTTATTCTATTTCCTTCACCTGATCTTCTTAGTCTTCCTGGATATATTTTAGTTTGCCAGTGTTTTTCAATTCAAAAAAAATTAATTGTTCTCCTACTATATACAAAGTACTGTGTTAAGGGCTAGGGTTAGAAAGAAAAGAACTAAATAGTGTCTGTCTTCAGCAAGCTTACATTCTACTTCTTAACATATGCCTCCCAGAACTGAATGCTGTCTCTCCAAATACGTGGTTGGATCCAAGCAGATCACAGAACTCATTCTGGAATAGTGAACGTCTATAAATATTGCCTAATAATGGATGTGGAAATTCCCTTTAGCGTTCTGGATAGGAAATATATTAATTCCCTTAACTCCTTCCTCTACCCTTGGAAAATAGGGAGGGGTTTTTCCTCCCAATATTTTGGTTCCCAAGATGCTAAACTAAACAACATGCTTGAATGAAGAAGGAACAGGACCTCACTCCACTATATCATGCTGTGGGCTTTCCAAAATGCATCCTTGAGTTGATAAGAAAAGCAGAGCAGCTGTCTAGCAATGTCCCATTCTAGAACTGGCATCCCCACCCCTTTCCTTTGAACCATCCTGATTCCTGTGTAAGAGGAAGAAGAGGGAGAGCAGAACCAAACCAGGCCCTCCCAAGGATGTCAGTTGGCAGTTCCTTCAAAACACGAACTTACAGGGACAGTAAGTGGCTTTTTCCAGAGCCCTCACCTAGGGACCAACCTTTTTTTTTTTTTGGTCAATTAGTCCTGTTCAATTCTTTGTGATCCCATTTGGGGTTTTCTTGGCAAAGATACTAGAGTGGTTTGCCATTTCCTTCTCCAGCTCATTTTACAGATGAGGAAACTGAGGCAAACAGGGTTAAGATACTAAGTGTCTGAAACCAGATACTAGGGCCAGCATTCTATCTACTTTGGCACCAGCTGCCCTAGGCACCTACTACTGGAACCAGCAATATAAGCCTAAGTGCCAGTTACCCAGATAAGGAGTTACTGACATTGAGTAAGGTAGTCACCAGTCCCTTCTGGGAGTTGACAGCCTCACTCAGAAGGGCCTTAAACACTTCCTAGATGCCATTTGCTTCAGACTAAGACTGAGAGAGAGGGTCTTAAGTTGGTTGGGTCCCTGGAGCTCCTGTAAAAATTCATCCATAAGATTCCCTATTAAGGAAACAGGGCAGCTTTGAAATAGTGTTTGATATGTGTCTCCTTTTGCTGAAGTTTAACTTAGGCAAAGTAGACCTAAGTTCTTCCCAACTATTATGCCCATAGTAATTCCCTGGATTTCCCCAGATGCAGGAGTTACTAGGGTAATGGATACTTCTCTCCTACTTTCTGCCTCCACTTAGCCCCAACTCATTAACTCTTTTCTGGGTCTTGATATCCTGCAAACTCCTGTTTCCAAAGGGAAGCGAGGGATGGATGAAAGATCTGAAAACCTTTTGGGGTCAGTGCACTTGAGAAATATCCCAAATCATCGAGGCTTAATTTCCTGGTGGACTGGGATTGCCTGAAGGCCAGACTCCTGGTCCAGCCGACATGGCTTGGAAAGCCTGATTCGTCTTCTTCTAAAAACAGCCACGCTTGTTCTCTGTTCTCTGTGTTTCAAACAAACTGACCAGGCTCCCAGGAACTGTCTGAATGTGGCCTGTTCCATGACAGAGACAGATGGTGGACCTATCCTTTCAGTGGTTAGAGGAACAGAGCCTTCCTGTATGTGGGTGCAGGGTATCTCACTTCTGTGAGACTGAAGGCTAATTCTAAGAGAATGCTTTTTCTTCATGCTTGATAAATGCCAAAACATTTGTTCTGCCCATACTAGAATCCATCATATCAAATAAGATAAATTTGTGAAGCTTTTAGCACAGCTCCTGGCACCTAGTAGGTGCTATATAAATGCTTAGTCATTTCTCTTTCCTTCCCCGTCTTATAATCCACCTGTGGCCCTGGCTATCACTCTAATCTTGAGGAACCAATTTGAGTAAGAAAGGGGAAGACCACAAGCTCTCTATATTGCCCTATCCATCCCTCTTCATCACTTATTTTTTTTGTGTGTGTGCATGCACATGGCACACGCAAGGCAAACACAAGAGAGCAAGCGTTGGACAAGCACTTAAAAGACCAGCTTCAGGAAAGGAACACAGATCATACTGGATTGAGCCCATGGGCCTTTCAAGATTGCTGTGCCCAGTGACCCCAAAGTAATGGTCCAGGGTTGTCACCAGTGATGAAACCTTAAAGTCCTATGTGTCCCAGCTTCTCTCCTTAGCCTTTTCTGCCTAGGACAGATG